TATGTTGTTATAATTATATTATATTATGTTGTTATAATTATATTATATTATATTGTATTGATTTTATGCTATTGGAGATTTTTAACTGTTTTTTCTATGTTGTGTTAACCATTGAGAGTGGTTTGATTGCAGTGAGATATAAATGTAATAATAAAATATATTATTTTGCTGGAAACATATTTTTCTTTATACCAATTTATCTAAGTTACTCACTTAGAAGACCCCAGTTCATTCTTTAACAAATCTGGAGCTTCATCAGGACCAAAAGCCCCAACAACACATGGTGAAGCTAAATAAATGGTTCTGAAACACGCTGAACTAAATTAGACATGTTAAATTTTACACAAGCTTTAAAAATTGCTTCAAGAGAGCTAAAGCTAACATGATAGAACAGCATTACAAAAAATGATCTTATAGTCTCCTCTCACAAATGTTTTACTCTTAAGTCAGGTGTCTCCGTTAATCTCAGTTTATTCTATGAATGGTCAACTTACCAAACTGCTGCAGCAATAAAGCTAGCAGTTGTGATGGGAACGAGAGTGGGATAGCTAGTTTCATAGTCAGCAATTCCATGATACCATTCGAGGTATATGATGCAGTAAAATGCCACTGACAGACTGACTGCTAATAAACAACTGCCAAGGACAAACCATCCACTGCAAAACAGAGAAAAGGAGAGCTGAGTTAAGTGCCACAATAAGCTAGCTGATCTTGTATTAAGTATACATCGATGTTATGAACATTGGCTCAATTAGGAGGCTAATCCAGATCAGGACTGTTCTTACATTGGCTGAGAAAGATGCAAGTGAGGTGCTTCAGGTTTCAACTAGTTAAGAGGTCCTCATCAGATATGGGACTTTTTAGCAAGGAAAAGTCTTGCTGAGAAACTAAGACTGGAAACACAGGAGAGGGAGAGAAGAGGGCTTGAGTTTAAGTAGAACATTTGGACAACCTTGTCTGAGCTCAGAAGCTAAACATGATTAAGTCTGGTTGATGTTTAGATGATTTCTAGGGACTCTGATTCATGAGATTAAATTTAAAAACAAATTAGGCTAGAAAATCACGATTAAAAATCATCCTGTAAGAAGGCAATGGGAAATCATCCAATATCAAGAAAATAGCATGGATGTGTTCACTGATTTATTTATGCAAAATAGAGCAATGTAGAGTTTAATTTATAAATTAAAAGATGCTGAAATTCTAACTATAATTCAATTATTTAACAATGAAGGGGAAAAAAATCTCAAACCCCAATTTTCACCTGAAATTTTGAAACGATTCAAATTTGCACAAGCTTATTAAAAGGAACTGATTTACATAGCAATATGTACATACTATACACCCAGGAATCATTATGTTCAGAACATTTTATTGAGAAGTTATTCAGAAATCTCTAATGGGGAACCCGAAAGGTGCTTTTTTTCAAGAGACAATTGGGCTTTCTGTTTTTTCTTAAAAGATGTTTTGCTTCTCATCCAAGAAACTTCTTCAGCACTGCCTGGATGGTGGAGAATGGAAGGATTGATACTCCTTGCAGACAGCTGGTCATTTGCATTCTTTTAGTCGTTGAGGCCACCTGGAGGTTTATNACTGTGTTGTAGACTGGAGATAGATGATGTTGTATCCCTTCTCCTCTGTTGAGAGAGGGCTGTTCAATTTTGACATAGATGGCCTCTTTGACTCCTTTCAAACCAGTGATCCTCTGTCCAAAATGTGGACTTTGCTATCTTCAAAAGAGTGGCCTTTGTCTTTTAAATGCAGATGGACAAATATAAAGTTGTCTCTTGAAAAAAGTTCCTTTGGGACCACCATGACCTGGATGTCTGAGAATCTCCACAGACACTCTAATGGAGAAGTTTAATTAGTTCAAAGATATGCAGATACAAATCAACCCAAAACAATAAGACTAGTGCTTACTATCCAAAATAATGTGGTTGAGCTTGAGTACACATTTGCCTTGTAGAAATTAGGATGGAACTAAATGTCTCCTTACAGTGCTGGGAATTGGGGCAAAACAAATCAGGTTACAAAACTCCAGGAGAAATCAAGTAGGAGAGGAGAAAAAAAAAGTTTGCAGCTGCTTGTTTTAGCTGTTTTAGACTCTTTTTTCTGTAAAAAGTTCAGTAATTATGCAGAATATTACTACAGGTACTCCTCAACGTACAACAGTTTGTTTATTGACCATCTGAATTAAAACGGTGCTGAACAGTGATTTTTGACTGTTTTTAACACGGCCATTGCAGCATTCCCATGGTCACGTGATCAAAATTCAAACGCTTGGTATATTCATACTCGTATTTATGATGGTTGCAGTGTCCTGGGATCATGTGATCACATTTTGCAACCTTCTGACAAGCAAAGTCATTAAGTAAGTCAGATTCATTTAATAATAATGTTACTAACTTAACAGCTGCAGTAATTCACTTAACAACTGTGGCAAGAAAGGTTGTAAAATGGGGCAAAATTCACTTAACAAATGTCTCACTGAACAACATAATTTTTGGGCTCAATTGTTGTCATAAGTTGAGGACTTCTGTACCTGCTCCAATGTTAACTTTGTTTCTTGTTTTTTTTTAAAAAACAAGATTGGAGACGATTGAGGTGGGGAAATAATTCTCTATGGAATTAATAGGATTGTTTTTTCTTGTAATTGGTTTAATGATGGGGGATACATTCTGTATTTTTGTGTTCAATTACGACCTCTTTAAATTATATCTTAATTTTCTATATTAATATATTATCTGCACTGTATATTTGCTAACATCAATATTCTCTATGCCAGGAGTGAGCAATTAATTTTCCCAAGGGGCCATATGAAAAACTGGGACTATTGTAGAGGGCCATTGGCCCTTCCCACGCCAAAGGCCAGGCAATAACAAAGGGCCAATTCTGGCTGTCCCTTTTGCAACTGTTAAGCAACCACATGGGTCATTAAACAGAGCACAGGCTGTCTCAGTGGGGGAGGGGAGCCCTGGGAGGATTGCACTACAGCACCTGCACTGGTCCTCCCCTAACTCAAGGTACCCCTTGCATAGCTTGCTGCCCTACCCTTAGACTTTCTCTGCCGCTATCATGCCTGCTCCACTCAACTCTTCCAAAAACCACCTTTCCAAGAGTGCCCTGATAATGTGACCTTTGGCCTTCCTACAAAGGGTACCTTGTGCCATTCTGGAGTGGGTGCCATTTGCATGATTTCTCAGAAGAGAATAATTTTCCAATCCAATCTCTCAGGTTTTCTTTCTGAGAGATCACGAGAATGGTAGTGTCCAGAGTGGTGCAAGACATCCTCCACAAAGTCCTGTGCAGTGTATTAACTGCTTCTCTTTCTAAAAGGTGGTCTTCAGAAATTGCATTTTGGAAAAAGAGGAAATCAATGCGCCATGTGGCCTTCCTTCACAGAAACTACTTCAAGCTGTCCTGGAGCAGGTGCCATTTTAGGAACATCTCAGAGAATATCTAAAAGAAGTTTGGTTCACATTATTTTGTCACTGGATATATGAAGAACTTTGGATACATTTATTGGGAAGGTGGCCAGAAAGCATACTCATGGAAAAGAACAAATATATAGTTATATTTCTATTTAGCTTTCATATTAATACATAGTATTAAAGTTTTTGGAAACATATTTTAATTGTAAAGGTTTTTAAGTTTTAATAAATTTTAAAAAGAAATAATTGTATATGAATTTAATACCAAATTCTTGAAAATATATATATATATATATTTTAAAAGGCATTTCCTTCAGTTTTTCATCAAAATGATAAATAAAATCATTGAAGAATAAGGAGCCAAGACTGAATCTTGTGGCAACCCATTCAGTCTTTCCTTTATTTTTATTTGGGACTATTGATGAGTATCACTTTCTAACCACTAAATTGTCATACCATTCAGCCTGTATTTAGCTAGCTTAGGCATTGAAATGTTATGGGTGTTTAGCCAAATCATTTGGCTAAAGGATTTAAATAAGGTTGAGTGTTTCCATGATCAATTAGGAAAACTCACAGTTAACTCACAGTTGCCAAGAGTTTTGAAAAATCTCTGCAATTTCTCATGCTACATTTAAGGTTGCCTTAGTAGACAAAATATTGGCTTCAAGGAACCTGGCCTTTGGAACATAAGTAATCACAGACGTAAGATAGAAATATAATAATAAAGTTGACCAGTCAGGCAGAAAAAAAACTAATTGAATTATTACTGAAAGATGAATTAAGAATGCCTTGACAAAGGTTGTTACATTTTTCTAGACAAAATTAAACATTTTCTAAACAGAAAATTAAAAAGATAAAATGAAAATGTGATGATGATCCTGATAAGGATAAAGGATATCCTCTTATTAAATATTGAAAATATGAATCTCTTATAGGATCCAAACATCTCCTTAACCAACTATTAGGCATTAAATAAGAGAGCAGAGAGTAGATAAATATATTTTAAAAAATGGCTTTCATTTTAAATTGGATTTTAAGATTTTTCTTTTAAAAATTTGTAAAAATGGAGATAGCTTAAGATAATTGTAACTTCAAATTAAATTTTTCTATACTTTTTAAATAGTAAAACTGAAAAACGGTGTTTCTGTGAAAATGTTAACTTGGATTTCTCCCAACATTACATGCTGAATGGCTTTTGTTTCTCCCACTGATTAACAGATGATTTCACTGCTAAAGGTAGTTATCAGCAGTTTTACCATGTTTTTTGAAGGGAGAATAAGAAGGACCCAAGACAGCCTTTGGATAATTGTGCATCTATGGAGAAGAGGGGATCTTGTAGAAGATAATTCTGCAAATCTCAGTAAGGAGTGATCAGAAGGTCAGGTCTGTTACCCTCTTTTCTCTTTAGCTGTTTCTTTTTCCTAAGCATGACTGGGTTTTAATTGCACTTTTTAAAGTTTTATTATCTTTTAATTTGCAACTAATTGCTTACCTATTTTATAACCCCTTGCTGGACTTTTATAGTTTTCCCCCCCGTTTTCTCTGTTAACTATTGAATTCATTTTCACTATAAGGAAATTTGTGGTGAAAATACATTGTCGGTGAGTCATCCAATTGGACTAACATGTATACAGGATTATATTATAAATGTTATTTCTAGCTCTTTTAAAAAAATAAAGATTTGTCTGTTTCTCTTGTCCTTGGAAAGAACAGTGTTTTTTCCCCCAAATGTTTCTAGAAAAAGATTTTTCTGAGAAGCATTTCAAAAAAGAATGTTCTCCAACTTACAGGTTTTATTTGAAAATATAAATAAAAAATTTATGGGTCAACAACAGTTTTGAAATCCAGGATGCTATTCAAAAGCAGGAAATAATAAATTGACTTTATTTTCAATTTCATGAATTGGAACCTGATCTGTTGATGCCAGATATGAAGTACTTGGTTGGAAAATCAGAGATCTGCCAGACAACATTGAAATGAATATGAACCCAAGAAATTCTGAGATAATGGAATCAATGAAGGATAAGCTTGACTTTCTTGGCAAGGTGAATGATGCGTTTTTAAGAATTTTTCAATAGATGCTGCAGAGATATTTACAATAGAGACTTATAAATTTCAGAAATGAGATATAATTGTTTGCAAAGTTCCCTATTGAAAACCTAAGGAAAGATTTTATTATTAAGAGCTAAATAAGGATATTTGATCCTGGATAGTCCAGAGATAATGACTGGCGATTTGTGGTAGATAAGAAACTGTTGTAGACTTTCTACAAGTAAATTACAATAACATATTCTTAACAGAGGACCTTGAACTTTAACTTTGCTGTAGTTTTAACTTATGAACTTTTTTTCTTCATATATACAATGTATGACAGGTCAAACTGGGTTCCAAATAGATATAATAGTTTATAAATTTTGGATCTGTTTTGCAAGTGGAGGGGTTATTATTGCTGCGATATATTTGTCAATATTCAACTAGAAGGCATGTGTTTCTGGTTTTTGTCCTTTTAATTCACATTATTTTTCTTTTTAATGTTCTTGTCTAGTTTTGCTTTATCTTTGGGATTTTTATCTTTTGATTAAAATAAAAATTAAAGAATCCAAAGAAGGTTGATTGAGAGTCTGAGATGATATAGCACAGGGGTTGGCAAACTTAAACACTCAAAGAGCCATTTGGACCCGTTTCCCACAGAAAAAAACAAAACACCGGGAGCCACAAAACCCTTCCCATGCCTGACTATTTCCTGAGCGGCCACAAAATTGGTATATGTATTTGAATTAAACATTCTGTATTCTTCTGAAACTTTTCTTTTCTTGGATTTAACCATGGTTGGCCTACCAGGGGGTTGAAAAGCTCAAGAAATCATGTTCTAGCAGGTGTCGCACATTGGTGGGTGTAACACATATTTTGAGCAACAGGGAGCCGCAGCAGAGGGATACAAGAGCCACATGCGGCTCCAGAGCCGCAGATTGCTGACCCCCTAATATAGCAGATCTGTGCACTGAGGAGTATAACTATAAAAGTAAAGGAGAATGTGAACCCGAATTGAGCAAAACATACTGCTTAAGTCCTGAGCATCTGAGGAAAAAGTTTTGGTTCACAAGCATACCTTCTGCTGACTAAATCCTACTCAAGATATTACTATTATCTCTATTATGATTGGGTCCCACTGACATTTCTGATAACTTCACTAGTATCTACCATGTTTCCTCAAAAATAAGACAGGATCTTATTTTCTTTTGACTCCCAAAATAAGGTCTTGGCCTTATTTTCGGGGAGGTCTTATTATTTTTCAGGTGCAAGAGGCAGTAAGTCTACTGGTCTTACCCTCTCTGTCCCACCACCTGCTTGCCTGCAGCCGCAATTACCCAACTTCTCTGTGCGCCCTGACCTTCGCCTGCCCTGCTTTCTGGTCTTGCTGCTGGCTGGCCGCCGAACAGCTGACTGTGTTGCTCTGGCCTTGGGGGCTCTTCGCTCTCCTAACAGCACTGCTTCTCTTCAAGACCTCTCAGGAAAACACAGCATGCAAATAAAACAAAGTGCTGCGAGTCCGGGTGTCCTTTTCGTTTGTTCCCCATTCCTCTCTCGCCCCTTCGCCCTTGCTGAGAATTGTGGTGGGGGAGAGAAAGATGATGTGTGGAAAGAATGAAGCAGCTGCCAGAGCCCAGAATTTTATGGCAGAAAAGAGAGGAAGGGGGGAAATTTCAAAGACCCTGGAGAAAAAGAGCCAAGTTCTTCTGTTTGCCATCCAAAGTGGGTGTCAAGGGCAACCCTGCAGGAAGCGATCTGCTCCTCCATGCAGAACCTCACAGTGGAAGGAAGGAAGGGAGAGTGAAAGATCAAACCTCTCTGTGTGTGAGAGAGACAGAGAGGGCACACAGTTGTCAGCCCTGATATATGGTAATTATCTGAGGTTGGATTGGATCTCTCTCTCTCTCTCTTACACACACACACACACACACACACACTCCAAGGCAGCCACCTTCCCTTCACTAACTTGCTTTCCAGTTCCGTTCTCCACTGCACGTGCAGGACAAGAAAAGTAGTCTGTGCAACTATGGTTAAAAAAAAACCCAGAAATTACCTTCCAACTTCTCACACACACAAAAAAAAATCTCGCGAAATTGGAAGTAGTCCCACAAACTACTTTTCTTGCCCTGCACATGGCAATGGAGAGTGGAGCAGCAAAGCAGGTTAGTGGAGGGATATGGCTGCCTTGGGAGGGGTGGGGGTGGGGATTAGGGATCTCTCTCTCTCACGCATACACACCGTCCTTTCCTTGGGAGTTCTGCACAGACGCACGGATTGCAAAGCTGAAGGCTTCGGATAGAGCATTTGGGGGATATGCGTCTGCACTGCGATCCCAAGTAAAGAACTATCGCCAGGAAAAGGGGGGGGGGGATTTTGCCTTTTATCCTGTTCTGAGTCCGTGCTGAGCTTCAGAACAGGGTGACAGAAAAGAAACCTCCCCTCCCCATTTTCAAGCCGTTTGCATAAATACCCTATTCCGAGCCTTCAATATTACACTCTGCAATATGCTAAAGGCTCGGAATGGGTGTTTTTGCCAACGGCTTGAAAATGGGGAGGGGGGATGCCTCTCACCTGTTCTGAAGCTCAGCACAGACTGAGAACAGGTTAAGAGACAAAATCCCTCTCCCCATTTTCAAGCGGTTTGCAAAAACACACAATTCTGAGCCTTCAATGTTGCAATCCTGGAATACGCTGTGTTTTGCCTCATTTTACAACCTTTCCTGCCACTTGCCAAAGGCAAGTTGTTAAATTACAACATGGTTGTTAAGAATCTGGATTTCCCCCTTGGATTTGCCTGTAAGGAAGTTGCAAAGGGGGAAGATATGGCCCCAGGTTATAACCATCATAAATGAGTCAGTTGCCAAGCTACTGAATGTTGACAATGTCACACCCTGGCAATGTTGCCATGAGCATTTGGGTGAAAAATGGGCATAGGTCACTTTTGTTTCAGTGGGATATTTGGAAAGAAGAGATTGCAAATACCCCAGCTAAGAGCACCGAATCCAAAACCTCCTGCAATGAGAGACTTTTTTTGCAAGAAAAAGGCAGCTCTTCTTTGCTGTGCTGGGCTATGTAGGTCAGGACAAAATAAACCAGGAAAAAAATTGTGGATGGCTGGTGCAAACGTTAGGTAAGCTGGCGCGAGGCACATAGGGCACATCACTCGGCACCCCAGTTTTTTTGTGGCCGCAATTACACAGCAAAAACGGTAGTCAGGGTTGTTGGAGGCTGTCAAGAGGCTGTTTCATGTGGATGGCTGGTGTGAACATTAAGTTAGACGGCACAAGGCACGTGGGGAAGCTCGCTCCCCCCACCTCATATCAGTACATTGGGGGGGGGGAATGAAGACACCCCCCCAAAAGTAGTCCTAGCCATTTTTTCGCGGGTCAAAAGAAAATAGGTCCAGGTCTTATTTTCAGGGAAACACGGTATATAATAAAATCATTTAGATGAGTCTTCTTGGCTAGTTTCCCACCCCAACTACTTCAGTTACTGTCCTCTATGAAAACTTTGCAATCTAGGTATAGATAGGAATACTGACTTAGCATTCAAATAATTTTAAAATAAGAAATTTATTTTCTCAAATGGTAACATGTGTAATGTACTGACAGGTGGCAGGATCTACAAATAATTTTATTAAGCATTTTCCAAACTAAAATCTAAGTTGAACATGTTTTTCAAATAAATTAACAACTTTTATTTCTTTACCTTTCTTTTTGAATAATTTCCTTAACATTTTTAAAAAATTCAACATAATATGTAATAGCTATCGATGACAATATCCAAAATGCAGAATGAATGTTAAGCCTAGGGAGAGGCTTATCCTTTTTCTCCACGCTTGTACCTGGAACTGTAAAAATAAAACCACTGTTATTCTGTAAAATGTAGTAGCTGAAGTCTAATGTTAATAAATAAAACAAAACACTATCATTTCATTCATAGTTACAATTTACTAAACCTCAACACATTCAACTTTCTTGTATGTCTGTTAGAAAGCATATCCTGTGAGCACACAGCAGGATTCCAGAAGATGAAGCATGATTGTACCAGGAAGCAGTAGAATCTTGTCTCAAGAAAAAGGATAAAACTTCAAAAAGAAACCACTTCCAAAGCTCATCCAACAGTCCTTTTCTAACCAACTAACCTGTCAAAATAAAATGGCAAACAATGCCAGTAAACTATTTTCAATTTATAGTTCCATTCCTCCAGTTAGTTTCTGTGATACAATGCAGTGTGAAAGAAATCCTACTCTATCCTCTTAGACCTCACTATATCTGTCTGCATAAAAGCTGAGAGCCAATTCAAGCCATCAGAACAGCTATCTTACATTTAATCTACATTCAAGCAGTACATATAAAATTACATATACTGGTGGTAAAATTCCTGAGATATTTTATCTCAATAACAGAATAATAGGAAGGGACCTTGGAGGTCTTCTAATCTAACCCCCTCCTCAACAAGACACAATATACCATTTCAGACAAATGGCTGTTCAATCTCAAAAATTTCCAGTGATAGCACACCCACAACATCTAAAGGTAAGTTGTTCCACTAATCAATTGTTCTGTCAGGAAATTTCTCCTTATTTCTATAGGTTGGTTCTCTCCTTGATTAATTTTCATTGATTGCTTTTCTTATCTTCAAATGCTTTGGAAATTAGGCTGATCCTCTCCATATATTTTAGCCTCCACTTCCCTAATCGTCTTTGTTGCTTGTATCTGCACTCTTTCTAGATATATCTTTTTCATATTTTGTCGATCAAACCTGGATGCAATATTCCAAGTTTGGTTTTAACAAGGCAATAAATCTTATAAAGTGATATTAACATTTCTTATGGTACTGATACTACCCCTCTGTTAATGCAGCCTAGGACTGCATAGGCCTTTTTAGCGGCTGCAGCACACTGCTAGCTCATACTTAAGTGATTGTCCACTAGGACTCCTAGACCTGTCTAGCAATTACTGCTATTGAGCCAGGTGCCACCTATTCTATACCTGTGCATTTGGTTTTTCTTGCCTAAGGAAAACAGAATTAATTTACCTGAATTCAACCTAATGTGTTGTTCAGCATAATGAAACCAAACCAATACTGTACTGCACTGTTTGTTAATATATATTATCTGGCCCAGGTGATCAATCTGGCTGGGTTGGCATGTTTTGGGTTTCTTCACTCAGGCTGTTAAGTGTGAGATCAATTCCCCATTTTTTCCTTGTTTCTGTCTGTATTATCTTTGCCATCTCCACTCCTTTTTATTAGTTGCTGCTCTTTCATTTTTTTCACATTTGTAATCTACACAGTTACTGGGAAATGAGCAGTCTATACATTGAATAAATAAACGCAATTGTTACTTTGATATCAAATTCAGCTAAAAAGGAGTTAGTGAAGTACAGAAGGATATCGGGAGCCTGCCCTTTCCTGGGGACCTTCAGACAGTCACTCCTGCCAGTCACCCCACGATTGGATTACCAACGCACTTCGCGGCTTGACTACCGCAAACTGCTCTACTCCGGCCCAGAGGCCTGAAGGGGTGAGAAGTTGGAGTCCGCTGCCTCTCGAGTTGCCAGGGGCCTCCTACCCTCGCTTCCAAGAGCTTGTCATCGGCTGGAAAACCTCCCGAGACATAGGGCCCGGTTCCCCAAGGAAGCTGCTATGTCCAGCCGTCTTCCCTGCCTGACTCAGTCGACCACGATGGGGAGGGGATGCCCGGCCTATGGCCGAACACGCCTGGAAGCCGCCTGCTACCACCTGCTATGACCCCCCTCCCCAGAAATATTTGTCAGCGCCCCGAATGGGAAGTGCTGCTGCCGCCTCCCGTGCAAGCAGACGCACCCAACATGAGGCACTCCGAAAGCCTCCCTACCCCCAAGTCAGAGTAGAGCAGGGTAGACATCGAGCGGACGCTGCCCTTTGCAGGAGACGGCGAAGCCCCTCGGTTCACGTACCAGCCCGCTTCCTCGAGTCAGCAAACACTTACCCGCTGTCCTGCTGTCCTGTTCCGGTCCACGGCTGCTCCCTAGCCCCCGCCGCCGGCGGACCAACAGCTCTACTTCGCTGTCATCCGCCATCTTGGAGCCGACGAAAGGAGAGCGACGGAAGTGGCGTAACCGGAAACAGGGCGCCCCTGCACACACCCCTCCCCCGTTCTGTTGTCGTGTGGGAATGAGGTTGCTCGGGATTGTCAATAGTTCCGACGCGCCTGACGGGGTCTGAAGTGCATTTCCAAGCCTCGACCGCCAGCGAGTAGCTTCCCCAGAGTCCGCTAGCAGGAGAAGGGTCCTTGGGAAATAGAGCTGGGGTATTTCTGTACGATGCTAGGAATATCTATGTTCAGGATATCTTGATAGCACGCTATGGAATATACATTTTAAAGTATTCTCCTATGTTGCGTATAGTGCATATTTGGGCTTTGCGGTGAGCCGATCGCAAAATAGCAAATGCAGAGCAGCATAAAAACAGACCGATTTCACACAATCGGCATACAAAAACTCAGTTTTGAAATAGACGTTCTCATTGACCAACAATTTTTTTTTACAAAGAATTACCTTAAAACGGTGGAGTGTACTGAAAAAATCACTAAGAGGTGATCTATTGAGATTATTTCTCATCCCATAATAGTATGCTTAATAATTATTTTTTATATTTCCTTACTCACAGTTTAACCTCCTTGTGCCATATCCGTCATCGGATGTTGCCGATAATGTTGGCAATCCTATTTTTGTCAACAGCCACATGAAAAAGTATACAAACCAGTCCCTTAGGTTTTGAAGCCATGATGATCTTCTTCTGCCTGGACCTCGTTTGTCTTCAATTTTTCCCTGGAAGATTAAGTGAAGGATGCTGTATTTTTCTGGATGTCGCATAACATGTCCAAAATATTCTAACTTTTGCTTTTTAATGGCTGTTGATGATTTCCCTTTGCTTTCTCGTGCAGCTTATCGCCTCCTCATTTGTGATTTTGTCAACCCAGCTTATATTTCTAGTCTTCTATTTATATTCTTCTTCCGAAGTCTTTTGGTATTGTTCCCCCCCCTTCCCC